GTAGATTTGAATCAAAATGTTTGCTCCAGAGCTAAAATAGTTTACTTATCTATCCAATGTCAGGATTGAGAAAATAACATAAAAAGAAGTTTAAGCTACTTCAAAATGGTTTGTTTTGATAAATCTTACTTCAATATGTAAAATATAAAGGTGGTACATGTACAATAAAATATTAAACAATGTTTTCAGTTTGGGACATATAAAAATGACATGACCTGAAAAAATCACTTTTCATTATTACTGTTGGTTGAACAAAACAAATACAAGTCAAGAAATTTACCAAGTGCTTTTCAGAAGTTGTTTTAAACATTAAACATATCACAATAGTCCTAATTATTATGATTAGGGATTATACATTTCTAAAGAGTGGTAAAATATTTGTAAGTTTTTACATTTTGAGGTGTATAAGGAGGAAAAACAGCTGCTTCATTACAGCATATAAGGATTTTAATCAGTAAAACAATTTCAGTGTTGAGTCATCACAGCCTTCTGTTCTGGTTTCCATCTGTATTGAAATGACAGTACAGAGGAAGAGAAAATATGTCATTAGTGAAGATTTATTTTATTGAAACGTTTATTAGAAACAAGTAAAAGTAGAATCCAAAAGTTTCACCCCGCTTGGGTCCATTTTCTTGCGTCATTATAGCCGTAAAACTCCAAAACAGGTAACATTTTCCCAGAGTAATGGGTTTTTCAGAGCGCTGCAGCTGGATGACCTTATCAGTTCTGAAACAACTTACTCTAGCACTGTATTAACACGCCTGACCTCTCTCTCTCAATCAGTGTAATGTCAGCTCAACTCTCACAAGCTGCCGCTCGCGCTGCACACTCCACCTTACAATACATATACTTGCAGCAGAGTCTGAGCACAGCAGCCCACCACAGCTGGAGCAGCTGTTCTGCAGGTGACCTTCACCTCTGGGGAAGAATCGGCTTGTTTGGATTAGTTTTCCAGGAGATGCGACAACACGCCATCTGTTGAACGGTGCCACAGAAGGCTGGTTGGGTGCCACTTCAGCCAAGTGACTGACGAAGGCGTGTTCTGGCCTGAGGGGGGCTGACAGTGGCACACAGTTTGATTCTTAGCAAGAGGAGATGGAATTAAAACTATGCAGCTGTCTACAAGTGTTAAGTCCTATGAATATGGTAACAGTAGTAGTTTTTGCAACGCCTTGAACAATCCGTCGCCTGCAGTAAGTCCAGAATGTTGCTGCACGTCTTTTAACAGAAGACCACATCACCCCATTAACAGGTTGTCCAAAAGCACAGAGATCTTCCAGCAGGATGATCTTAGTGCAGCTGAGGGTTATATTAAAGCTCAGACGGGATTGAACCCCTTGACTCTGGAACAACCGGCCCCTCGATACCCATACTGCAGAGTTTACACTATCTTCTTAAAAGGCACTATTTTTTTAAACTGCCTTTTAATTCGAGTTCATTTTGAGTTCCATTAGATTTTTTTATGTTTCCTTCTGGTACTTCATTTTCAGCCTATTTTATTGCACCTGTTAGGTTTCGTGTGATTTTCTGAATTTATTTAATTGTTTTCTTCCTGTGGGCAGCACAGTGGTGCCGTTGGTAGAGCTGTAGCTTTTCAGCGAGCAGGTCGCCCCGGTTCAAATCCCAGCCGGGGGGCCTTTCTGGGTGGAGTTTGCATGTTCTCTCCGTGCATGCGTGGTTTTCTCCGGGTACTCCGGTTTCCTCCCACAGACCAAAAACATACATGTTAGTCTGACTGGTAACTCTAAATTGTCCATAGGTGTGAGTGAGAGAGTGGTTGTTTGTCTCATTTATCTCTATGTGTCCCTGTGATGGACTGGAGACCTGTCCAGGGTGTCCCCCACCTCTCACACAGTGATGGCTGGATATGGACACCAGTGACCCCTGCGACCAAAAACTGAAGAAGCGAGTAAAGATAATGGATTGATGGATGTTTTTTCCCAGTTTTATTTTTTATTATCCACTTGTTAAGGACTTTGGTCAACCTGGTTTTTAAACTCGCTGTATTAAAATAAATAAATAAATAAATAAATAAAAAACATTGACACTGAAAGTTTTTCTTTATTGGTCCCATATATTTTAAAGTAAATTATAGGAAACCAAGGCTATTAACAGAAGCAATAGAAGAAGATGTTATGAAACAGAAACATAAATTAAGCCATAGCAATATTAGTTGGCACCTATGTAAAACAAATAATTCTAATAAAATCATTTCTAGTATCGTAAAACATAACTGTGTAATAACATTGTGTCACCAGGTAGCACGAGCGCTGACTCAGAGGAGCGTTTAATGAACTGGTTGCTGGAAAAGAATCGTTACAATCCGCTCATCCGCCCAGCCGTAAACCGAACAGAGAGAGTCACCGTAAAGATCCAAGTGTCCCTCGCGCAGCTCATCAGTGTGGTAAGACAGTAAATACTCCCAACATTGAGCGTGTGTGGATATACTTGTTTACGTATTTGTATGTTCATTTGAACATGTGTGTGCATGTAAGGAAGACTGTGTTGGAACAAAGAAAAAAAATGTCAGGCTGAAGGAAGGCGATGATGGAAAGGACTGAGGAGCTGCAAACCTTCTAGGGAGTAATTAATCTCAAAGCAGCCTCTACTTCAGGGTCGTGGTTCTAAATGGATGGATGCAGTGGAAAATGGATCTGGTCGGCCATAATCTGGGCCTTTGTCAGATTGAAACTACAGCAGGCTGGATTAAAAGGAGCCGTTAACTTGTTTTAGCCACAGTGATGGAGGCTCGTACTGATGAACAGTAGACTCGTCTCTGTTGAAAAGCAAAACAGGAAGCTCATTCACAGCCTCACTTTATGAGTTTACGTCGCGGCCATTGGAGCAATTGTCATTTGGCATCACTTTATCCGAAGTGGATGTAATTGAAGTTACAAGAATGCAATAAAAATATATTTTCTGCTCTAAAAGCCTTTGGTTTTGCATTTTTTGCTGTTGCCATTTTCAAAATATATTGAATATATGGTAGCACTGACTGCAGGAGGCGAAAGACACCCTACAAATCTTAATATTATTACATATTAGAAACCACTCCACTTCTGTCAAGCATCCCCTTCCCCTTTACTTGACAGAACCATCAAGTAAGGAAGAGGGCCACCTGCATCATGAAGGACCCCACTCACCCAGCACACACACTTTT